CAGCTCTAATTTCTAGAGAAACAAGTGGTAGTAGTTACGGGTAAAAACAAATGCTTGGTGAGAAAAACCTGGTCTCTCTTGTGCTAGAAGTCCTAGGAAGAAGAATGAGTTAATAGGAAATCAAATTGTAAAGATCCCACAAATGATGCTTAATGATTACCTCACTCGTGGTACATGGAATTGGGATTTTTCTGCTCCCTGACAAGGATAAAAGAGGGATAAAAAGACATTGTCTGAAGAGTGGTGTAACTGTCAGAGGATTTGTTATTAAGGGAAGGCTTGGAAAAAAAACCTTAGTGGTGGGGAATACAAAGGGACATTCTAGAAGGTAGAATAGGGTTGGGACAAGAAGGAAGAATAGGGTTGTTTGACCTTATGATCTGAAGGTTAAAATAGTGACAACAAAAATTCTATTCGTTATACATGCTTACAACACAGTGGGAATATTTATAAGGGCAAGGGTGGGAGTAAGAGGAGGAGAGGTTGCTCCACAGCAGGAGCTGGTGGAGAAATAAGCAAGGGGAGGCAGCTAGGACACCTCTTCCCAGGCTATGAAGATTTATAGGTGTGAGAAGCCTAAAAGGCAGGAGTCTACTCATTCAGCATGCTAAATATAAAATATATTAACTTGCTTTCATATGATTCTTGATTTGGGAATGGCAGCTGTTTGAAAAAGGCTCAAAAGCATCTAAAAGTGATTGCTTGGAAGTTAATGAGGGCATCCCTAGGCAGGAACAAGGCACAGAAAACCTCTGAGTTGGGAGGACAGCGGAAAAAAACCAGAGTGGGTTGAACAGGTGCAACAAGGAATCCCAGTTTTTCACTGATACTAAAAGGGAGAAAAATCTAGACAGCACCCACTGCCTTCCATAAAGCATGTTTTCTATAAATCTGTTGAATGAATGCTGTCGCGATGATTGGGCAACATAAAGTTTGAGATCATGGTGTCAGTACCTTTCTCTTCCTCAAAGTTGGCCAGAGAGACTGATAAGATCAAATCCTCAGAACTCAGCTCTAGAAACTACACAATCACTACCTCATCTTCTCACATCTACTCTGCTTCTCCAGAAGTGGACCCTGAATGGTGATTTGGGGCTAGCAGGAATAAGAACAGGTAGCCATATGGTAGTTCTGGGTGATTTCCTGGACCACAGAAGAGAGTTACAGAATTTTGGAATTTAGTTAGTTTCCACACCCACATTATAAGGAAAGAGACTAATATTACCAAAGTCAATGGTCCTCTGCATTTATGTGATGTCCTGTGGCACTGTGGCCTGGCCCACAGGAGGGCAACTCCCATAAGGGCTTGCAAATGCATCTCCTCTGTCCTGAGTTTGAGCTAGAGAAATTTACACAAGCAGCATCTTCACATAAGGGTGAAAAATTTCAAGGTGGTTGGCAACTGGCTCTGGGAAGCATATGCCTGCAACACTGTTAGAGAGTCCCAGGGAAAGGCATATACCTAACAGAAAGGACCAGCCACAAGGGGTATGGAAAACCACAGGACAAGGATCTAAGAAATGCAGAATGCATAGCACAGACCCTGAGCTCACTGTGCACATCAGCATAAATCTTGAGACTTCATAAATAAAAACCATCAAAAAGAGTTCCTTTACCCTCTGCTGCTCTTTAAGGAAATGCAAGCCTGAAAAAGTCTGGCTGTTCTCCAGTAACTGGGTGCTGCTTTAGGAATCCAGTGCCTCACCATAGTGCTGTTGGAGCCTGTTCCTAGTCAGCCATTCTGTTGCCTGGCAGTAGCCTACAGACTCCTTTTAGTTTCCATGTCTATGGACCCTACATGGTCTACCTGGTACCTCCCTGTCTTCCTTCATTCTCCTGGTTTATCCAGCATGGCAGCATTGGCTTCAGTCAGCCCAGGAAGACAGTCACCCCCAAATGCACAGAGTTCTTTGGGGATTTCCAAGGGGCAGAAGAGCTAAAGGCTGAGTAAAACTATTTTCCTGGACTTGCTCAAGAGAATGAGGCATGAGGGAGGTCCCGCTGTTGTTTAATATGTACTGAAAGCCCACAAGCTCTAATATACATGCAAACAAAATTATGGCATGATCTTTAGCCTCTGGGATCCTGGGATGAGTCTTCATGAAAAGTTACAATGCTGACTTCCCACAGAAGTAGAGCAACAGTGAAGGAATAGTGAAGGAATACTTCATCAGTGACTGGCTGGTGTGACTGCACTTAGCAAGCAGAGCTTTTCAGCAAGATGGAGAGGCACTCCCTGTTCTTTGCTCTGGGTCCCTGAAGCACAGATTCAGCCCTATTTAATGCACTTACTAACACCTTAATTATCACGACTTACTTATTTGTTGATTCTCCAAACATTTGCTGAGTGCAGCCTACTATGTATCAGGCACAAATCAGGCACTTAATAACTGTTGGTAGAATGAACAAATGGAACCTCACTCAGCCTGTGAGAATGCAGTATGAGTATGTGCATGTGTAGGGGGCATAAGTGTAGGATTAAAAAAAAAAGGTGTTGCTTGAGCTAAATTTTGAAATATGAGTGGGAGTTACCCCAGTGGATAAGGGGGAAAAAAAAGCATTCCAGGAAGAGGTAAAAGCACATGCCAAGGCATGGAGCTATATGGGGACTCCATCATGGCTTAGATACTATGAAGCCAGCTGGGTGCTGGATGGAAACAGACAAGGAAATCTGCCTTCACATAAGAATCAGCCCAAAGAACTGATTTGAGATAGTATGCTTAAAATATCTGTTTAGAAAGGAAAATGTTTTTGGATTTCAGGGAGAAAAAAACAAAACCCAGAGAATTGAATTTTCTGAAGCCAGGTGGCAAGACAGCCCTGCTAAATCCCAGGGCTGACCAATGAATGCATTGCTTAGCCTTTGGACTCAACAAGAAAATCCTCTCCATAGTTTAAGAGATAGAAGGTGTTAATTGTAGTGAATCATTGGGTCTTTCTTTCTGAGATCAGTAAACCTGATTAGGAGGCTCAAGAAACAAAACACACAAATAAATAAAAAACAAGAGAGAAATGGAGCCAGGCAGCCCACACCCTGTTGTTTTAGTGAGAAGACTCCAGTAAGATTAAATATTTCTCAGAACCAAATATGGCATATGTAAAAAGGCTTTGTAAACTGTAACATGTTACCCAAATGTAAGGTACTGTCCTTATTACCATAGGAAGCTAAGTGTGTGGCCAGTTCACTCAAAGCACACAGGCAAAGGAATTTTGTTAGGGCAATGGCAGGGAGCTAAGAATGTGGCTGCCAGAGGAGGCACACACAGAACAGGATTTGTGTTTCAGTGACGTTAGGGAAAAGGCATACTCTACATTGATTCCTGTAGATTATCTGTGTAGCTGTAATTTCCCTCTTATAGTAAATGATTAGAGAAATACAGACTGATTCTGTGTGAACTCAAGGGCAAGGAACTCTCATATTTATCTAGCAGAGTTCCTGGCAAAGTAGGTAACACTTAGCAAATGTACTAAGGGGTCTCTGAGGGGACTGCTGGAAGAGAAAGGACAGAGAGAGTTGTTATAATGGAAAAAATAATGTTTCCAGGTGGATCTTGATGGTCTTGGTTTCTTGGTCCAAAGCTGGTAAGCAAACCCTGTCAGAACTTGGTCATTAAGATTGAGGGGTATAGTGGAAAATGGAATTCCCATGAGAAATGAACACATCAGTTTGGGAGATGAAGAGAGCAGAAACCAAGAGCACTGCTGGAGAAATGCATGTGGGACTGAAAGAGAATATATTCTGTAGCTAAAGAGAAAGGGAACTGTTTGCATAAATATGATCCACATAAGAACAGGTGCACTGGAAAAAAATAAAGGGAGTGTAGGGAATGGGCCAGGCATGGTCCTACTATATATGTTTGAGGAAAAGGAAGCACTATCAAAAAGATGGCAAATGAAATTATTTCCCTCCTTTGTGGAGTGTAACAACGAAGCAAAACTGCAGGAACAAAACAACAGCAGACTCATAGACTCTATGAAGGGACTAGCAGTTACCAAAGGGGAGGGAGGGTGGAGGGGATTGAGGGGTATTATGATTAGTACACATGGTGTGGGGGGGTCACGGGGAAGTCAGTGTAGCACAGAGAAGACAAGTAGTGACTCCGTGGCATCTTACTACATTGGTGGACAGTGACTTCAATGGGGCATGGGTGGGGGACTTAATAATATGGGTGAATGTAGTAACCACAATGTTTTTCATGTGAAACCTTCATCAGAGTGTATATCAATGATACCTTAATAATAAAAAAAGATGGCAAATGTAGGAGGAAGAAAACCGTAAGAGTATGGTCAGAGAGGGTGTGGCAGATTAAAGGCTGTAAAATCCAGCAGTAAGATCCAGACGCATTTGTGTACACTTAAGTGAAATTGGGTGAGCCATTTTTTCCTCTTTCATTTCCCTTTGGAGAGAGTGTTTTTTGAATAGACTAAGGCCAATTGGTGACATCCTTCATACCCATTCTGAAATGATTTGATCTGCAGACTTTGTGTTATGATTAGGGGAGAATTAGTATTCTTAAGATTTTTGTAATATTAATGCTTACCCAATGCCGGACACCAAGTAGATAATGTCCAAGGTCCAGTATTTGGGAAGCACCTGGAGCCACCTAGCAATCTTTCCAGGGTTGTTAGTGGGAACAGTAACCAAGAGCCCTCACTGAAATGACTAATTTAGGTATAAAACCTCAATGACAAATCTCTAAATTGAAGTAATGATCATATTAGCAGGCTTGCCCCAGATTTTCTTTAAAAAAAAAAATCCCTGTATTTTGGTGTGTTAACCTGGTAAGAGGAGTTTGAACTGAAAGGGGATTTATAATAAACAACTCTGTAATGGAGAGGTGCTTAACCAATATAAATCTTTGATGGAGTTTATTCCATTGGTCTGTGCATGAGGGGCCACACCCATGCTTCATGCAGCCTTTGAATTAAAAAGAAAAGCTAACAATTGGTAAACCACGTTGTTTTCTCACAAGCCTGATCTTTCTTCTATGTAACCCCAGAAGCTCAAGGAAGCCACTTCTATTAAAGAAGGATGTCACTAGATTTGGCTGTGTGGAAGAGGAGGAAGGGCAACAGGGAAACCCTTCCAGAATGGCTCTGTGGTAAGTTCCATCACTTAGCTCCCTCTCCAGTCCATTTCTGGACAAGAAACCAGTCTATCTTTGATTCCAAAATCACACCCTTGAGATTCAGATGGAATGAAAGCACTATCACAGCCAAGGAGGTAAGGTGGGGGTGCATCACTATGTTGGTGCAGATCCTTTGCCCTCCCTAGACAACTCCCAATAATCCTTCCTTGGCTCTGCACCTTCCCTGACCTTCTCATCATGCAGAGGCACGGTTGGGCAAATGTGTGCTGCATGCTACCTGTGGACCAGTGTCTGCTGGTACATGTAGTCAGATGGCCACAAAGACACTGTGGATCATGCTTCCTAAAAGTGATCCTCTCTCTCTTTCTGCTTTAAGGATTCTGCAGCAGAGAGGGTGGTCTCAGGACGTGCCAACCTCTGAAGGGTTCCTCTAGTTCTCCAGTTAAGTCCTGTCAAAGACCACACCCAGAGGTCTCTCCCAGACCCAATTAAACCCAGAGTGGCCCACAGGCATCAGTATAGTGGGGCTGCCAGAGAAGGAAGCCACACCCTGAAATCTGGAGATTCAGATGAAATCAGTTCCTGCAGCAGTCTCATCCCCAATTAAACTGTCCTCATCCACTTACTCAATCATCACATTTCTTGAGCATGTGCTATTGCAAAGCCCTATACTTGGTATCTTAATGCAATTTATTAACAAATATACATTCATGCTTCTGCCTCTCCTTGATATTTTTCCCCAAATAAACTTCTAAAAACAGATTTCATGATGCCAAGCTTTGTGATGACCTTGGGCAAATTGGTAAACCTGAGAATAAAGTGCCTCATGTTTAAAAGGAGATAATTTCATAAGGCTGCTCTAAGAACTATATGAGATGGTAAACATCCCTGGTATACTACTTGGCATATTGGTGCTCAGTAATCTCATATATCCTTTCTTCCTTCATGCAAATGACTTTCTTTACAGCACCTGCCAGAGTCAGTTATTCCATCTGATTATACTGCTTTCTTCCTGATAGTCAAGCCCCAGGGCTCAAATCTTTTTCTGTTTCAGAGGCCTCAGCGGTCCTCCCCTCCCTTGTACTCTGTGCTCTTTAGATGTTCTTGCCTCCACTAAAATCCAGTTTGGAGCCAACTGGACTACCATGGAGAGTAAGAATTCTAATAGGGTTAGGGGAGAAGTGGACAAAGGCAGCAGCACCACGGGCCCCCGTCTCTCCACCACGTTGGAGGGACACAAGTTCGGGTACACTGAGCCCTAAGGAAGGTCAAGGCCAAAGCCCCTTGGGCATATGGGAAGTTACTCCTGGCCTGGATCCCATGGCAGGATCTTTTCCTCCCAGTCAGAGGTTCTTTGCAGGAAGGCCCAGGGAACTGTCTAAGGTCCTCCTTTATACAGAGTTCCTCTGTGGGGACTATCCCCACAGCAGAGGCTCCGGAGGCTCCCCGATGTTTCCAAATGGTGTTCTACGGAGACAACGCCGAGATCAGGCTTGCCCTCCCGTAGTTACACAGACGGTCTCTGGAGACGGTATACCCTCCACACTGGGCCTCCCCATGGCAGCAAATGCAGAGCGAGCCCTGGAAGTCTCCATGCACACAGGGGGTCTTCCTTGGGGGCGGCTCCCCACACCGCCTCCGAGACTCTGCCGTGGGGTAGAGGCAGCGCCCCTCGGGCTGTACCCGGTTAACTCATGGGACCCCTTGAGGGGCGGCTCCCACACAACACCTCAGAGTCCCCGGAGGGTTGTCCGCTACCTGCAGACCCGCCCCTCAGGGTGCCCGCCGGGTCTCCGTCGCCCCCGCCCCCTCCCCCGCTTACCGGGACCGTCAGGGTGCGGGACGCGGGTCCGGGGTTGGCGGACTCTGCACCGCGGGCCCCGCGCCGCCCAAGGGCGCTCGGGAGCCGGCGCGCTGGGGCCGAGCCGGGAGCAGGAGGCGCGGGCGGAGCAGCAGGCTGAGGCGCTGGCGGCGCGCGCGCCCCGAGCACACCCACCCTCCCCGCCCCCCTCCCGCGCGGCTGCGGCGCGTGCGCCCGCGCCAGCCGACCTCCGCGGGCCGGTGGGCGCGCGCCCCGCCCCCCCTTCTGCGCGCCGTGGCGCGGCCCTCGCGGCTCGGCGGGCGACCTGGCGCGGGAAGGAGGCGCTGAGGGACTGCAGGGGGGCGGCGGCCGGCTCCGATGTCTTGCGGGTCGTGGGCCGCTGGGCGCCCCCCACCAGCCGCCGGCCCTGCGGCGCCGGGACTGCGGCAGCCCCGCCGCCCGCGGCAAGGTCAGTGCCAGCCCGGAGGCGGCGTCCCGTGACTCTGAGCTGCCCGCGCCGAGGCGAGGCCTTCTGCCGCCCGCACCTGCCTCGGAGGTGAGAATGACTCAGACAGCGGCCTTGACATCTCCCCCCAAGCCTGCTGCCCACTCAGGTCTCCAGGCCCGTTAGGGGCCTCGGAGTGTCCACACGAGCCTTCACAAAGGCTGGGCTGGGCCCCTCTTCCTGAACGCTGTTTTCTTAAATTATTTCTTATGTTATTGGCCTTTAATACCCAGCAGCAAAGCTGTACCCTGATGTAACCCACTTTTTACTGCAGCAGCCTCATCCCTCAGATCATCCAAATAGCCGGCTTGTCAGGACGTCAACAGTTCTGAGGGATCTAAAGTGCATTACACCAAACTACATGCTCTGAGGAGGGTAAGAAAATATCAAGTCACAAAGCAAGTAACAAAGCAACCTAACAACTAATTGTAAAATTGTAAAGAAATAACTGAAAATATTCAAATGATATGCCAAGAAACCTTTTATTTAAATTAATTGCATTTATATTTTTAACATGCTTTCATTTTCTTGTGCATTCAGTTTCTCTGTCTCAAATACAATTCACATCATCACTTTTTGAGCATCTACTGTTTGTTACTGTGCTACGTGCTATAAGGGCATTAAAAAAAGGAACTCACTTTGTCCTTAACATCATGGAATTTACTAGCAGGGAATATAAGGTAAATATAGTACTACATACTGCTATCACTTTTAAACAGTGTCAGGTACTATACAAAATAGTTTTAGTACATTGTCATTAATTTTCACAGCATCCCTTTGAGGGCCTGTACTGTTAGTTTCTACATTTTGCCTGTGATGAAAATGAGGTATAGAGAGGTTAAACATCTTGTCTACCTAAGGTCACTTAGTTAATATGTGGTGGAGGTGATATTGAAATCCAGGTATTCTGACTTCAGACCCCAAGCTTCTAACCATTTTATCATACTGCCACTGAGAAAGGAGAAGCTGCTAACCATTAATAAATGGAATTCTAAAATTGGTACTTATTTCTCAGGAACCCTAACATTTTTTGGTTTTTGTGGAAGTAACACAAAAGAGCTGACAACTTTCCATGTAGCCTGGTGGCCCCTAAACTTGTTCAGAATTGCATCATACCAACAATTTCACAGATAGGGTTCTCTGAACTGTTTTCAGTAATTGTTTTTTTTCTAAGCTGTTTGGCAGGCATATGGAAGAGGAGTCTGTAATAATATCACCATAGAAATGAAATCTATTAGTTAATTCCTTCACTCAAAAAAATGTGTATTGTGCACTTATGCTATGCTAGGCATTGTGCTGAGAAGTAGAAGGGGTTCAAAAAGAAGTACGACTCAGTACTTTCCCTCAAAGAACTTTTCCTAATCTCACAGAGGAAACAAGCATTGACAGAGAACCATAATTCAAAATAGAAAATGAGTTGTGTTCAATAGAGGAGTGAAATGCAAAGGAAATTCCAAGGAGGAGAGAGACAGATTACTTCATGAAGGGAGGTGGTTGAGTTAAGGAAAATGCATAATTATCATTTTACATATTGTTGATATTATTACACACAGTATAAAATTTATCAAGTTCCTTTATTAAAAAAATTACACACAAAGTTCTCATGTTCAGGAAAGATAGGTTTTTATTGTGTTTTAAGGATTGTTTAGAGTATAGAGAGATTAGTAAGTGCAAACTTTCTGAAGATGGTTTACTTTATCTCAAGTGGGGGACACAGAATAGAATGATAATACACAAGATAATATTTTCAAGTTCAAAGGAATAGCAAAAGAAAAAGCAAAGTGGGAGTGAAACAAAGTAGGTCTGGGGGCAGCCAGGACTCTGACAGGACAAGGTCAAAAATTGCTGGAGAGTAGCTTGTACCACACAGAATTGCTCTTGCTTGCAGAGAAAAATTGTTTTCAATTTTTTTGCATATCCTTTAATTATTTTTGAGATATAGAATTTATTTTCGAGGTAAATGTTTGAGTTATAGAAATTGAATGCTACAAATATTCTAGGATGGTCTGAGTCCAGATACTTGATTCTATTATGTCTGTAAGTTCTTGTCAATAAGATTGACAAATGTGGTCACCATAATCACATTAATGTTTATTAAGTAGAAATCATGTATATTCAACAAATGTTTAATCAATAAGGCTTTGGGAAATGCAGAAGAGGGGTTATTTGATGAAGAACTCTAAATACTTAAATGTTTCAATATAGTAGGTCATAGGGAGCCCCTATCAATTTTTGAGCAGGGTAGTAGCATTTTGAAGGCCACCCTAAACATTTAGAAGTATTATCTTTTAGGTAAAGGAACTAAATGAGAGTGCATATGATCTTTTGTCGGTATTTTTAACAAAATTTTAAGACTAAACATGAGAATAATGAAAATTTCTCTTAAACCTTAGACAAAAACCTGTTGGGATATTAAAGAGACTGAGAGGAAAAGTAATCAGAATGCCACTGAACCCTATTTCATCCTTTTCATATCCTGATGGTGACCTCCAGTGGAAGAGAATCCATGCACCTTTTTTGCTTACAGTACACATCTCTTGGCCCAACTAACTAGCACACAATTCCTTTTCACTGTGAATGGTTCCAGTGCACAGGTACAAAGTCCCAGTAGCCTTCAAAGACAGGCAACTCTGCTCCGGGCTGCTGCCAGTTAATCTAGAGGTAGACAACTTAAACTGGTGTAATCATAGTTTCTCCCAGGAAATTGAAACTCAAAATCAAGTAGCACAGAGCTTGGAAACTGCTGGACCTGAGTTAGTAAGAGAGTGTGTCCTGAAGAGAAAGCTCATGCACTGCTGCTGCTCTGACCTCAGAGCTCTGTAGGTCCCTGCTTTTCCTGCATCTTGGGTCTTCTCTTCCTTCCATCCCTTTTCCATATGCTTCATTCAGCCAGTTGAGGGACATGAGGGCTATTTCCAGTTTTTGGTGATACATAAAATCACTGGAAATATTTACATACAGGTTTTTGTGTGATAAGTTTTCATTTCACATGGGTAAATACTTAAGAGTATGATTGCTGGGTGGTATGGTAAGTGTATATTTGACTTTCTAAGGCACTTACAAACTGTTTTCCAAAACATGTGTATCACTGCATTCCCACTAGCAATGTAGGAATGTTTCAGTTGTTTCACATCCTTTCCAGTACTTGGTATTGTCAGTTTTGTTTTGTTCTTAGCCATTATAGGTATGTATTGCTAACTCACTGATATCCATTGGATTTTTAAAAATTGAAGTATAGTTGATATACAATATTATATAGGTTTTAGGTGTACAACATAGTGATTTGACAATTATATACATTACTAAATACCATGATAAGTGTTGTTACTATTCTTCATCAAACAAAAACATTACAATATTATTGACTATATTTCCTATGTATATTTTTATTCCTGTGACTAGTTTATTTTAAAATTGGAAGGCTACACCTCTTTATCCCCTCACCCACTTTACTCCCACCACCTATGGCAACCACCAGTCTCTTCTCTGTGTCCATGAGTCTATTTTTGTTTTGTTTGTTTGTTCATTTGTTTTGTTTTTTAGATTCCACATATAAGTGAAATCATATGGTATTTGTCTTTCTCTGTCTGGCTTATCTCACCATAATACCCTCTAGGTCTATCCATGTTGCCCCAAATGGCAAGATTTCATTACTTTCTATGACTGAGTAATATTCCATTGTTTATATGTACCACATCTTCTTTATTGATTCATCTATTGATGGAAATTTAGGTTACTTCCATATTTTGGCTAATGTAAATAATGAGGCTTCACTTGATTTTTATAGTGACTAATAATGTTGAACTTCTTTTCCTGTGCTTATGTGTTATCCATTTAACATTTTTGGTGAAGCATCTGTTCAAATATTTGCCCATTTTAAAAAATTGGGCTGTTTGTCTTATCTTTGAGTTTTGAGAGTTCTCTATATATTCTGGATACAAGTCCCTTTTCAGTTAATGTGATTTACAAAATTTTCTCCCAATCAGTAGCTTGACCCTTCATTCTTGACAGTGTCTTTAGCGGAGCAGAGTTTTCAATGTGATGATATCCAGCTTATCAATTTTATCTTTATGGATCATGATATCATATCTCACAACTCTTTGCTTAACCCAAGATCACAAAATATTTCATCCTGTGTTTTATAAAAGAAAAGTTTTGTAGTTTTGCTGTGTACACTTAGGTCTATGATTCATTTCAAATTAACTTCTGCATAAGATATGAGATATGGATTGAGGTGCCTAATTTTGCATATAGATGTCTATTTTTCTGGCATGCTTTGTTGGAGATCTTTCTTCATCGAATTGCCTTTACACCTTCTTCAAAAATTAGTTGGCCATTTTTGTGTGGATCAGTTTCAGAACTCTCTTATCTGCTCCACTGATCTATGTCTCTATCCCTTTGCCCATACCATATTGTCATCTTCGTTAGCATAGCTTTATAAAATAGTCTTAAAATCAGAGTGTGAGTCCTCCAGTTTATTCTTCTTTTTCAAAATAGTTTTGGTTATTCTACTTCCTTTGCCTTTCCATAGACATTTTAGAGCTAGCTTGTCAATTTGTACAAAAAAATCCTGTTGGCATTTTAATTGGAATTCTATTGTATCTTTAGATTAGTTTGGGGAAAACTGTAATTTTAACATTGACTCTTACACTCCATGAATGTGGTATATCTCTCCATTTATTTATGCTTCT